ATGCTTACTGATCTTACTTCGTCTCATTTATCAGTTAGCATTAAACCCGTCAGCTTCACCACATATTCATATGCATCAGATATGACAGTTCACTTTTGCCTTTTTGTTAATATGTTATAACTGCTTATTAATGATTAATAAAGTGTTAATGACCTAACTAAGAACCAAATGATTTTTAAACCGTTCATAAACCGTAATAAGGGTAGTCTTATTTAAAATAGTACCATAAAATGCATACATTCCTTTTGGAGAAGAGTATACAGAGATGATAAGCATATTTTACGGGCACCAGAATGTTCTCAGTCCGCTGGCATGGACAAACGATCTCTACCGTGAGTGTAGAAGTTGTTTACAGGGCTGTGAATGCCAGATCAAATGGCTCTGACTGAAGCCTATAGTGCATGATAGCGGGAGAGCACTGGCTTACTGTGAACCATTGAGGAGAGGGGAGAGAGAGAGTGAGAGAAAAGAGTAAAAGAGAGAAGAGGAGAGGAGAGGAGGGGAGGGAAATGGTCCCCTAGGCTCTACTCAGAACAATGTTAGGTTTGTTAGGCCCGGCTAAACTCAGAGGAGCTGGCAGTTCACCCTTCTACCTTTTCCCATTTTCTAGTCTCTCCGTCTCCTCGCTCTCCTCTGCTGATCTCCACCATAAGTGCTTGTGCAAAGTTCATAAGGCTTCCCTCTGTTTGTACGACCCGTAGTAGCAGCTTCATCCTCCTCGCACTTAAAGGGAGCACCGTGGGCCCCACTTCGGCCCCGGATTGGCACAGGGCTGCTTTGAGTGTTCTCAGTGTCTAGTTTTGGCAATCTGCCCCCACTATCAAACGAGCCACAGTCTTCCTGCCAAAGCCCGTTCTTGTCCCTCCTTCAGCCGGACGTGAATGGAGGACATGGACGTTTTGGAACGGGGGGACGTTTCAGGCATCAATTAAGACTTGTTTGTGTTATCGGTTAAATGAAGATCAGTGGCGACCAACCAGCGCAATTTATCTACATAAACAAGCCAGATTTATTTTCATTCCTGAAGGTGCGTTAACAGATTTTATTTACCCGAACGTCAAATTCAGAAGGGGAACGACATTCCGGTTCGTTAGAATTGCCCTAAAGTGATTAATTGCTTTGATCGGAAGCTGGATCAAAGCATCTGTTGGCAAGGAAAGCAAAACATTTGCAAGTAAAACTATAGAAAGATCAGTCATGCATTTCATATTACTTAAGGTAATTAGCTGCAGTCACAGAGGATGAAATTAATGGAACGTCCAAATGGCAAGCGCGTTAATACATTCCTTATAATTGAATCCCAATTAGGAGTGTTTATGGTGCCTGTGAATTTAATGATAGTCCAAGTAATTGATGGTGTCGTACTTCGCACAGCAAATGTGACCTGCAAAAAAATTAAAAACAAACAAAAAGAAAAAACACAAAACTGTCAGCAAACGTTGGGCAGTAACGATGCCTTTGGCTCAGCCGAGGGTTGTGCTTGGTTCTGTTCTTTAACAACCCGTATCAGCATAATTCAAGCATGACCCTCTACCCCTTCCCCCGTTTCCAATCTCTCTCTCTCCCTGTTACGCCATGTGTCATGCACCCCACATCATACATCATCCAGATTCTTCTCTGCACCCCCCCAGTGTCACGGGAGGGGCTGGAGCTTTCTCTGTCGGCTAGCAAGAGCTCGTTACTAGCCTTCCTACCTCTCCGCTGTGAGCCGAGTCTGCAGATTACGTGGGCTTCGGGGTCCCGGTCCCATCTGTGCAGTGCTGGACCACTGTTGCTGCCCGCCAACTGGTGGCAATTAGAGTGTAAGCAGCCGCTCGCTTGCAGACTGTGTTTGTAAGCATGCTGGAGGACTGGAGCACAGCTTTATGTTGTGCTCATTGCAACAGAGCTACGTTTTGTAGAACGAGGCAGAGCATTAAACACAAATGTGCATGAGCTCACACCAGCACTATTAACGCTGTCCCTGGCTACAGTGTTTGTTCTGCAGTGATTGACTACTTAACGTTAACCTGGTCTTTGATTTAGGAATGTTGAAGACTGTTTTCCGATCTTAACTGAGTTATTGTGTTTCTGTATTTGTAATTTTGACTGTATTTATAACTTTGACTTTTATCGTCTTCTGCTTCTAATCATACTGCTTTTAGTTTGCAATTCATAAATGTATTCAAATTTTCACTTGTACTATTTTTTTATTGTCATTATTATATATACATATATATATTGGAGATACAAGGTTTTCTTCCTACAGCAGCAATATGAAATACACACACAAACACACACACACACACACACACACAAACACAGTGTGTGTGTATATATATATATATGTGTGTGTGTATATATATATATATATATACACACACACACACACACACACACCTACATACATACATACATCATCTAAACCGCTTATCCTTCTGGGTCGCGGTGGGGTGCTGGAGCCTATCCCAGCTGTCATTGGGCGGAAGGCAGGATACACCCTGGACAGGTCTATATATATATGTATATATATATATATATATATATATATATTTGTGTGTGTGTGTATTTCATATTGCTGCTGTAGGAAGAAAACCTTGTATCTCATATATTTAAATATATATATATATTTATATATATATATATATATATATGTACGTGTGTGTGTGTGTGTGTGTGTGTGTGTGTGTGTGTGTATATATTTCATATTGCTGCTGTCGGAAGAAAACCTCATATCTCCAAAATGGTAACTTTACAGGAGAATGAAAAAAACATACTTTAATGTAAGTCAGTGGAACCAGACTTTTTTCCAAGTAATTTTGGGCCATTCATCATGAAATCACGCAATGTAAAGGACAACAATCCCACCTGCTAGCTTGGTTTCCCCCTTTCATGAGTGGTAGTCTGGAAGGGTGAAGGCCAGCATGTGCTTCCCTCCAGACATATGAGGCTCCACCACATTGTACAGCTCAACATGCTTGGAGGTAAACGATAGCTGCTAATTTTGTTACGTCAGCTAACAGAAGCCTACATTGGCTAGGATCACACTGAGAGAGAGGACCATCTGAGAGGGAAAGGACAGCTTTGCTCTCTACCATATTGCTGAGGATCAAACTCAAGCTCAGTCTCCTAATGATAAGACCAACACTTTGACTGTTGCACCATTCAGGAGACCGAACCTTTATTTTACCGCATAGCATAGTGATGTAAATGCTTAACTGTTAACCACCAAATAAAATGTTGTTCAACACTTTTTTGTCATTTTAGATGAACAACAATTCCAATATGAACAGTTACATTAGACATTAGCCTTCACTGTTGTTAAAAAACAACACATTCTGTTTCTAACTAGACGCATCAGTGTGTTCAGTTAGGAACAACACATTTTGGGTTACTTAGAGTGTCTCTGGAGTGTTTACTTCACCAGTTAAAAATACCTTCAAACTGTCTCCAATAGAGCAGTATGAAATACAACTAGGTGACACACTCCGCAAGGTAATATCAGATTTATATCAGACTCTTAAATCAATGGAGTCACAACACTCTATATATTAAACATAAGTGGAAAGCCGAACTGCTGACTGAGACTTCAACAGATAATTGGAAAGATATCTGTTGAAGTGTCATATAACCCTTGTGTGGTGTTGATGTGTTTGTCACTCAGTGGTCTGCTGGACCCACCACATTATTGTTTCTTTAAATCAATACAGCCGTAACAATTTATGTAAAAATACCAGATGCTTATCAAAAGTGTCCAGCGTAGGGTTCTCCTTTAGCAGCTGTAGCCAGTCAGCAGCCTGTCCATGTTGTCCACCTTCACACACACACACACATATATACAAACACGTACACACACAGACACACGCACTAACAGCAGGCCATGTAGGAGGAGAACAGAATGAAGGACACAGCACCTCCACACTTTTACCCCCCGCGGGTTCAGCCCAACACCACATGTGTAATATAAATGTGTAGGGGGGCTATGCTGGTTTTGGACTGCACTTACACTCTACGCTCTCAGAAATAAAGGTAGTAAACTGTCACTGGGGCAGTTCCCCTCTTGTCACTGGGGAGAAGCCCTCAAGGGTACATCTCAGTAGCTTTAGTCAGAGAACCTGATTATACCATAATCCATTGAAAATATATATAGTTGTACTGACTCCACACACCCCGTCTCGTCTCCAAGCTTTTATTTTATTGTTCTGTTTTAAAACATTCGGTTATGAAAAGGTACAAATACGAACTTTTCACCTGGAGAAACTTATTTAAGGTTCACAATCAGACCTTAAAACCACTGCTGTACCTTTGAGGGAACAATTATAGTGTTTGTACCTTACATACATCATCTAAACTGCTTATCCTTCTGGGTCGCGGTGGGGTGCTGGAGCCTATCCCAGCTGTCATTGGGCGGAAGGCAGGATAAACCCTGGACAGGTCGCCAGTCCATCACAGGGCTCACACCTAGGGCCAATTTAGCCTGTCCAATTAGCTTAACTGCATGTTTTTGGAGTGTGGGAGGAAACCGGAGTACCCGGAGGAAACCCACGCAGACACGGGGAGAACAGGCAAACTCCGCACAGAAACGACCCTGGTCGCCCAGCTGGGAGTCGAACCCAGGCCCTTCTTGCTGTGAGGCAACAGCGCTACCCACTGCACCACCGTGCTGCCCCTGTTTGTACCTTGATGAATGAAAAATGTACCTGAATAGAACCTTAATTACTAACAATGTATATGTGAATATTAGTGTGAATTGATGTATGTCTGTATGTATACACCCGAGTGAACTGTGGCCTGACTGTGAAGTGGTGAAACTTTGTGATCCTTTAATAAACAATTAGTTCCAAAAAATAAATAAATAAATAAAAAGCCTTCAAGAAGCGTAAACTTCCCTGTCCAACATTCCTTCACTGGTGCCTCTCTCTCTCTCTCTCTCTCTCTCTCTCTCTCTCTCTCTTCCTACCCGCCCAGTGAAATGAATAGCCCTCCGATCAGGCTTTGTGCGACGTGATTGTCACTCGCTTAATGAGCTTCTTTGCCAGGAGAGAGGCTTTGGCAGCATATGTCTCCCCTGTGCCTCCCATATGCAGCTCCGTGCACCAGCGACACACAGGCACTTCCCTGGGTCCCTCTCGCCTCGCTCTCCTCCACACTCTCCTCTCTCCTCCTGTGGGTCTGCGCTGTGTGACGGAGGAATGCTTATTCCGGAGGCGCGAGGGAAGAGAGGAGAATGAAGCGAAGTCCTGTGAGTATTGAGGCTTGTGTTCGGTGGCTCCGTCTGAGCTCGTTCCAAAGGCAGCCCAAGGCTGGGATTACAGTAGTGGTGCGAGTGTTTTGGGTGTCCGCACGTGCGTTATGGGCAGAGTTGTAGCAAGTTAGGCAGAAGGTTAACCCTTAAGATTACCCTGACTCTCTAGAAGTATAATGAACTTACTAAGCCTTAGAAGTTGCAGTTCTTACTGGCAACAATGAGAGCATGGTGTAATTTGATATTTGAGTTTTTTCTCACGTGTATCTCATTGAAGCAAGAGGAGAAACTCTGTGGGAAGTGAGAATGTTAAGCCGTCAGTTCATACCACACTTGTTTTGTAAGTAGAAGAGGAGATATTTCATCATGATTTGAATTAAACTGCAAAAAATGGTATCTTCTAAAGTAATATTATCTTAAATCTGTTCAGTAAAACTAATATTTCTCCTGTTGAGATTGTTGTAAGCTTAATTTAACATTATTGAACTTATTTCAAGATGTTTTTTATTTGTTTTAAGTGATTTTATTGAGTAAAATGATCTCACTGTAGTTGCAGATCATCATGCTTGTTTTAATAAAAGCCAGCAAAAATGATCTGCCACTATAGTGAGATAAATTTACTTAATAAAATTACCTGAAATTACTAAAAATGTCTAAAAATAAGCAAAATGATCTTATAATAAGTGCGCAACCATCTCAAAAGAAGAAATATTAGACATATCGCCTTGATTTAAGATCATTTCACTTGACAAGATACTATTTTTTGCAGTGTAGATGAAAAGTAAGTGTTGGGTTCAGATTTTGCCAAGTTTTTTGTTATTGGTTGACATTGAAACAATGGACAAAAAATGTCAAGAGTGCGTTATATAATGTAAATTGATTGTAAATGCAATTAATTGCATAAGTAACTACGTAATTGATTATGTGACTGTGTGCTTATGTAATTAAATGCATCATACTCATTAGTACTGGGTATCATTAACCGTATTTTAATATTGGCACCGGTACAGATACCTGTTTTTTACTTTTATCAATACCTTCTTTTCAGTTACAAACTGAAAGTGGGTGTGGCTTAAACTGAATCTACCAAAATGCAGACTAATCAAAAAGTTGTGATATTAACAACATGCATGTGAAGCATAATGTAGGCAGCCAATCAGAAGCCTAGATTTTGGAACAAGCATGCATATTAGCTCACAGATACTGATATTAGGATTATGTACTGTAGTTTGTTATTGAATAGCACAGATTTGTTTTTTACTCAGTAGTATATTAGTAACTGGCTCTGTATCGAAAAGATTTGAATTTCAGTTAAATAATAGCGTAGCAAAACAACTACTGATGGGCCGGTCCACATTTTTTACAGTTCCGATCCGATTCTGATTCCGAAACAAGAGCTCTTTTTATTTTAATATTATCATTATTACTTTTGGTATTGTGTTTAAATTTGTGTTCAAGGTGTTCAAGACACTGGACTCACATCTGAGGTCAAAATATCAGTTGTGAAGCTCGTGGCTTTAACATCTAACTGTGCCGCTAACTATGATGACATTCGGTTGTACAGTTGGTGTAAAGCAGCCTCTGCAGGTGATTAAATTGGTTGTATTATACGAAGCAGCCATACTTTCACCCTTTGGCATGTCGACTTTACACACATTACAAGTAGTGGTCTTGCTTTTCGCCGTTTTCAGACTAAAATATCTCCAAACAAACATTTTAGTCAAACCAACAGTTAACGTTATTTGCTCACTCAGTTACAGACTGAGGTTGGCATGGGTTCATGGTAAGATGTGGAGTGGAATCTGGATGTCGGTGACGTGTCATGTTGCGTTATGTTACATTACAGTGGGTTTGTGGTCCATCTCAAGCTGTGGTCCTGCTCAAGCCATCTCTAAAAACAACAGTAGGCTTCTAAAATTCATTATAAGGCTTATTATCCAGTAACTAATATGAATTTCTCAGTAACTACTATGTAACTACTACTACATAAGATGCTGCAGTTATAAGATTGAGACTGAGGCTCTGGGCCCACTGACAGTTAAAGAGTTACAGATATTTTGAAGCATATACAGAAGATATTTTGAGAGCATCAGGGTCTTTTCTTTTTTTCCCTCATTACATCTTAGATCAAATGAGACATTTGTGTTTGCAGTCTTTGCTTTCTTTTGGTCAGTTTTTGTGGAAAAAAGTCAGTCAGTGCTTCTCTTTCACAGTGTGCTTTTCCTCTTTGGATGGTTTATTATCAGGTGCATCGTGTTCTTTCGTATAAATGTTAGTAATCTTTTATAGCTTGCTGGCTCCGTGGAGACAGTTGTCAGAAAGCTTCCTGTGGCGCTGGACTTCGTCAGGTTGTCTTTCGTTCAAGGACGATAAAAAAGGGCAAGTGGTTCTTGTAAACACTGGATTGATGAAGAAGCGCAGAACGTAGTCCACAACTCGCCCAACTTTCAAACAGAATGTCACAAAGAGCTCGTCCAGATATCACTCCGAGTCAGAGCAGGAAGTTCACTTCAAAGGTGGAGTGGGAGGAAGAAATCAGACCGTTTACTTCGTCGCAGCCTCATATTTGTCTGAAATAACGCGTCAAAAGAAAAGCATCACCCAGCTTATCTGTCAATCAGTGATTCATAATATCTTAAAACCTTATATTGAGTGCGTTTACATGCACTTAATAATCTGATAACTGCAGAAAATTAGATTTTGTCAGTAATGTGATAAATGCGTTTACATGCACTTGAGTAATCAGATGATGGGGAAACTCTGTGTCTACATGAGTCGGACAGTAATTGGATTTCTGCACAGAAGAAGACGCGAGGTAAACATAATGTAAAACTCTTTTTTTAAAAACATCGCACCACTTTAGCTGAAAATATGAACATACATCATCTAGAAGATGAAGAATATTTAAATCCTTCATTTCGTCAAGGATGTATCTGGTTTTAGTGTTTTGCTGCGTCTCGCGGTAACGCTGCTTGTTTACTTCCGTGCAGACTGAGAAATCTGAAAGAAATCAGAGTAAGAGTTCACATGCACTGAGAAATCTGATTACTGAGCTAAAATCCATCCCTGTGACCGGAAGGTCGCCGGTTTGATCCCCTTGGCCGACAGTACGTGACTGAAGTGCCCTTGAGCAAGGCACCTAACCCCCAACTGCTCCCCGGGTGCTGTGGATAGGGCTGCCCACCACTCTGGGCAAGTGTGCTCACTGCCCCCTAGTGTGTGTGTTCACTAGTGTGCATGTATGTGGGTGTTTCACTACACGGATGGGTTAAATGCGGAGGTCTAATTCCTCTGTGTGCAAAACACAGTTGGCAAATGGTTCTAAATTCTATTCTATTCTACTCTGTTTCAAGGCCTTTTCTTGCTATAAGCAGTGCATAGCAACCCACAGCTTGGGTAAAATTATTTATTATATTTGAATTACCCTGTACTCTAAAATGAATGCCATTTTAATTAGTTTTAATTTTTGCATGCACTGTAACATGATCCTGGTATCTATCATAATTAAATCAGGGGGTCATTTGTGGTCTGCCTGGATATCATGACTATTTATACGTGTCCAAATTCACCCTGAACAAAAGATATCAGTAGTACTGCAGAAAGCTGAGAAGGTAGCAAAGTTAACACTGCTGTTAGCTAATTCTGGCCACCTGTCATTAGCTTTACGGGTCCAACTAGCTACTGTGAGCTAGCTAAAGTTAGCTCATCCTAACTGGGTACCTCAGTTTATTAAAACCTTGGTGTCCACCACACTTGCTAGCTTGGTACTGTTAGATTCAGTATTTTGGGCTTATTTAGACTTTTTAGTGTATTTAATTTAGATATATGTTATGTAGTCTTAGAACAAGTGGTCTTAGGAAGTCTGCTACACTGTAAATCTACCATTTGGAAGTGTACTGCTTGTCCTCACATCACAGCTCCTAGTCTGTTGTTTATCCACACTTACTGTTGAGTCATCTAGACAGTTTGGTGCAGGACAAACCCAACCTCAGTTCTTTTGTTAGAACTGTATAAAATCAATGCTTTTTGCTTAGTCGCTAGAGAACATTCTGCTCTGGAAGCCTCAGACGTGGACTGTTCCTTATCTGTGGCCATCTATATTTGCAAATGAACTATATTTTCATCAGACCACAATCTGTCTGCATTTACTGTGACGTTCCTGAGAAACTGCAACCTAGCTATGTGTTTCTAAAGTACCTATCCAGATCACCTGGCTGGAGCCAAAACTTTGTGATTCTAGGACAACAGAAAATGTTTTTCATGTGTAGTTAAGTATTAGCCTAGCATTTATCACTCTCACCAGCATCACAGCCACTCATGCACCAAAAAAGGTCTTGAACATGGAAAACTGAAACTGGTTAATATTAGCGATGGCACTGATCTAATACCAGCTTTGAGCTTGGAAGCCCAGTTTTAGATGATCTCATGCCCAGTACCAGGCCAAAAAAATAGAAAACTATTCCTTTTAATATGCCACCAGAAGAGTTGTGCTAAGTGCACGTTACTATCGGCAACAGTAGAATCATTTTATCAGTTTCAGCTTATAGAACCAGAGCTTTCTGTGAGCTACCATGTTTTCTATCACTGTATAAAAGATGCACAAGGCTTCCTTTGATTGTTGGATGTGCTGTTTTTCTTTTTTTCAGAGAGAATGTGAGCTCACTCAGTATGCAGTTCAGATCAGTAAGAGCATTTCATTATAATCAGATTTATTGTGATTTATATTCCCATATATGAGATTCATATTCCCGTTCATGTGTTCCAAAAGATGGTTTGTGACACAAACTGAATAAAAATCCCTGAATTTTTCGGCTTCAAAACACCAGCACTGAGAGATTGTGTGATTAACAGAGAAGAGCAAATTAAATGGCAGAAATAACCACTTTTTATGGTATAAGTGGGTTAAGAGGGTTAAGTGAGGTACTTTTATTAAAAATAGCTCATTTTAAAGCTTTGTAGCACGTAAAGAAAAATCGCCAGTGTTGGCCGGTGCTGAA